ATTTCTCGCGGCGATCACAAGCTCTGCCACCTCTGGTGGGGTGGTAACCCTGGCATCAACATTACTGCCACGTCTGCCGATGCACCCGTCCTGGCCGACGTTCTCAGCCGCTCAGGTCTCCCGTTTGGTGTCACCCGGGCTGACGCCTGCATGGATTGGCTCGACGCTACTGCATTCGATTCCCTGGCCGGCCACCTCATTGAGTTCGCCAAGGCCAACCGGATCGTGATCAACCAGCAGGGCGATTGGGCACGGGGGGTGGCTCGCACCCTGTACGTTGGTTCGCCACAGTCACCAGTTCGTATCTGCCTGTACGAAAAGGGGTATGAGCAGGGCGGCGATGCCCCCCGCGACTGGACCCGTCTCGAAGTCAGGGTGAAGCCCAAAGGTCTCGCCCGGATCACCATTGGACGCATGGCTGCAGCCGACCTCTTCGGGTGTGGCTGGGTCCATGAGGCACTTCAGCCTCTGGGCCTCGAAGACCTTCAGAAGCGCGCTGTGGGGGTTGTCTGGAGACCCAGCGACACCGAGCGGGCTCGTCGAGCGCTGCTCAAGCAATACGGTGCTGTGATGGCTCAGTGGGCCGATGAGGCCGGTGGCTGGGACACGTTCGGCAAGGTCATCCAGGAGGCCCTGGAGACTGCATAGGAATTTGGTCACGCGAGACCAAAAATCGCCAGGTGATGGAGATCCTACCCTCCGCCACCTGGCTAACCACCAGAAGCCCCAGGAGGCTCAAAATGGCTACTTCCAATGTTACCCCTGTCCTGTCCCTGCTCGGTAAGCAAATCGAGCTGCTGGAGGCCTTCCAGGGCTCCACAAAGCGTGTTTGTGGCACGGTCCTAGCTGTCGTTGTTGCTGCACCAGGAGCACCCGTCTCCGAGGCTGTGATGATCGGCCGGGACTACTACCACCTGGATGACTGCAAGCTGCTCCGGGTCTGGTAGGTCCAGGGCCGCGTCCCCGGCTCATCGGATCAGCTCCACCGATCCGGTGAACGGAGACCCGGGCGGAGCGAACCCTTGACCCGCCTCGATGAAATACCCTGCCGCAAGGCCTTCGGGGTGCAGTTTCATCGCACCCCCGAGGGACGCCGCCCGGCGAGGGTGCTTTCGCTCTTGGAATGTATAGGTAAATCCTCTTCTGCCTCCCAGGAGCGCACTGCCGGTGGCCGGGGGATGCGCCGTAGGCGCGCCTACGGCGTCCGGCTGTGCGCATTTGGAGACGGTCAGAGGGATGCACTAGGTAATACTGCGAAATCTTCTTCACCCCCCTGCCTTCCAAATTCTGAACTGTACACTTGTTGCAAAGGTGTACACCTCATGCGTACACTCGGCCTCAAGGTGTACACCAGAGGTCAGCATGCCAACTGTCAAACCACGAATCGCCATCACCCTTGAGCAAGAGACGTTCGACGTCATCGCTCGCCTCGCTGAGCTCCAGTCCAGGTCCAAGGGTGCTGTGGTTGCCGACCTCATCGAGTCGGTCCTTCCTCCGCTTCGTCGCACGATCGCACTGATCGAGGCGGCCCAGCAGGCTCCCGAGCACGTTAAGGCCGGCCTCCGATCTGTCGTCGAGGCCACCCACGACGACCTTCTCAAGATCGCTGGCAGCGGTAATCAGCAGCTCGACATGCTCCTCCAGGAGCTTTCCTCGGCAGGGTCTCAGGCTGGGTCAACCCCCGTTCCTGTAACACGGGGGTCAGGTTCCCCCCAGGAAACACCCACTCGACGTCTGATCAACCGCAAGAACCGCTCTGGCAAAGGGGATTGAGCCAATGACACGCTTCGATTGGTACCAAGCCACGGTATACGCCTCTGACCCGGAGCAATGCGGCCTCCTGAGTGCCCTTTCCAGTGCCTGGGACCTGTCGGACATCGGACCTGAGAAGCCCATGCACGGCTTCACCAGCGGTGCCCGG